AAGTTATCTATCAATTCTTGATTTAATCTCCACAAAAATTCATAATTACATGTTAAATGATGTTGGAAACATTTTTGGCTTTAATTTGGGGTAAAAACTTTGTTGGTCAATTAGTTGACTTTTCTGATAGACGAACTGAACAGTTGAAAATCTCTGAATCGACTGTTGGTGTTCTGGGTTCCCTGAGGCCTTGAAACTTCTTGGGTGGAATTACTTGGATCATATGAGCCTCATGGACCATAATTACCCCATTAGAAAACCTTCTAGACCAAAAGTCAAACTACAATTGACTTTTCCAACAAGAAACCCTAATTAGGATTCTTGCACTACACTGCTTCCATTCTCTTGGTAACAAACTCAAATTGGACTCATTATTGATCACACATGATATCCTTGATGATATAAAGACTTGCTATGTGTAGTATCAATCTAAAACCTTGACTGATCAACCCCCTAGAAACCCTGATTTCTTGATTGTATAAAACCCTAATTCATTTGCATCTTGACAAAGATAAACTTAAAAATAGGTTAAGCTTTGATAACAATGTTGATGCTCCTAGAATACTAATGGAATCTAAGGCTCAAAATTTAGGGTATGACATCGGGTCATCGCTATCTGCAACCAACAAGTATAATATGGTGATTGTATGTGTTGAAGGATCCAATATCTAATTGATCTCTTGAGCAGGGACGGTTGAACAATTACTTCCTTTTGTGCTAGCACCATGTATAAAATTTGTTTAGAGAAATTGATCATCACCATCATCATCATTTTCATTCATATGTTGTTGGAAGGATCCACTTTGTCGCGGCCGGCAAAATGACAGAGTCGCCATCATCCTTTACTCGTTTTAAGAGACAGGAAAATAATGATAAAATCTAAATTCTAAGGGTGAGACACTAAGCTCGGGAGTCGTTTAGGCGAGAGAAAGGTGTTAGACACCCTTCACCTCTATTGTATCCAATAGGATTTTCTTTAAGTCCTAGGGTTAATTTCTTGTTTAAAGTATATTTACTTGAATTACAAAGATTTTATTATTTACAAGATAATGGGATTAATTATGAAAGGGGTACCCTAAATTTTTATTATTATTGTACTCGCTAGGTGTCGCTACTCGAAAAAATGCATCGCGCAACGACGGGGAGGCGAAAAGAAAGGACAGAAGAGTCGCCACCGAACTTTATTTATCCTATGAGGGGAAAGGAAAATATCGAGAAAACCTTAAGAAAGAAATGGATAAGATGGTCTCGCGACCAAGAACGGGTTCGGAAGCCGGTTATGCGAGGGGAAGGTATTAGCACCCCTCGCATCCATCGTACTCGATGGGAACCTTTTGTTTGTCGATGTGTGATTTTATTTGCTTAAATATTATGCTATAAAGAGAGTGTTCCAAGGGATAGAAAGAAGGGTTTAGAAACGGTGAAAGAGAAGTAACGGGGGGAAGAAGGGAGAGAACGGACTCGGTAGGACTTCGCGGTCCTAGGCCTACGTATTCTCAACAGATATGAGAAAATCAGAGTCGACATAGTTCGAGAAACTACAGGTAATAGGGGGGGATTATGCTCGGCAAGGATTGTGGCCCTTGTGCCTACGTATCTTTACTTGAACGAAGTAAAGAATCAGAGCAGCCGTAGTTCGGCCAACTACGGGTGAAAGGTGAAAAAGGGAGCTCGCCAAGACATCGCCATCTTGTGCCTACGTATTCTCATCTGTCATGAGAAATCAGAGCAAACGTAGTTCGTGCTGACAATGTGTTGATGTCTTTACGGATGATGCTATCGTGCGCATTCTAGCAGTTAGGTGTTTTGCAGCTCGCTCGTTGGAGACTTAGGCATTACCTATTTGCGGTAGAACGGACGTAACATATCCTTTTGAAAGATTGATTAGTTTTCGCCACGCGGGGCAAGAAGTCACGTTTGATTGATTGGATTGTTTTTAGGGGGCGAGACAGGTCCTTGGTTAGTAACCCCTACGGGTAGTACCCAATTCGTTATCTCAAAGTTTTTGTTATAAAAAGGTGTGGCGAACGAGGCGTCTTCGTATTGAAAGACGAGAGTCGAAATCACCCTCACTACAGTGGGCATCCCTACGCTCGGAGAAAAATAGGTCTACACCCAATCCTCTCTCTTTAATTCAATGCAAAGAGAGCTTCGTTCTCTTATTAAAGATGTTTTTGGTTTTGAATGGTAAGTGCTTTGCGACAGAGAACCCTACGGTAAACGTCAGCACTCGGGATAGGAGAAGGCCTACGCCTAACCACTCCACGACCATTCAAGTTTTTGTTATGAAAAGATTTGAAAATGCACTCGGTACGGGACCGAGGTTTTAGGTGACAAGGGTTGCGGGATGAAGTTGTGAAAGCGAGATGGTGGGTAAAGTCGCGTCCTCGTATCGAAAGACGAGTATCGAGACCACCCTCACTACAGTGGGCATCCCAACACTCGAAGAAGAAGAGGTCTACACCCAATCTTCTCTCTTTAATTCGATATAAAGAGAAATAAATTTATTATGGTTTGAAAATGGACTCGGTACGAGACCGAGGTTTTCGAAAATGCACTCGGTGCGGAGCCGAGGTTTTAGGAGGAAAAGGGGTGGAAAAGTCTTCGTATTGAAAGACGTGTGTCGAAACCACCCTCACTACAGTGGGCATCTCGGCACTCGGAGAGGAAGAAAGTCTACACTTAATCCCCTCGTTTTAATTCAATACAAAGAAATTGGATTTTGAAGATGGTTTGTCAATGTTTTTGAATCGAGTTGGGATAAGAAGCGAGGAGAGAAAAGAGGTGGTCTCAGATCCAACATTACTCATCAATAATTTGACTGGTAATGAATTACGGAGGTCTCGTCATCGACCCAAAAGGCAAAAAAATGCCCAATAACAAAAGAGAAATAGAATTTAACTTTAAAAATAAAACCAAATGGAAGACATAATGTTTAACTTCTTAAAAAAAAGTAGAATAAAACTCTAAAAGAAAATATAATATACATAAAGTTTTAAAGTTTAATATAAAAATTTAGTTAGAAAAGTTTAACTTCTAAATAAAATGATTAATAATAATAAAACAAAAGAAAAAAGAATTAAAAATAAAAAGAATAAATATAAATAAATAAATAAATAAATAAAAGAAAAAAAAAGGAAAACAACACAGCACAAACGCAGAACGCGTTCTTCATCGCTTCTTTCTCACTCTCTGCTTCAGTTCACGCGTACCTCACCGCCCAAACTCCGATCTCACCATCTCTGTGTCTGAAACCTCTCTCTCTTCGCTCGTTCTTGTTCTCAGATTCTGTTTATGTTTGAATGATTTGGGGTTTTGAGGGTTGTGGTTTACGATTGTCAAAATCGGAGATGATTTGAAGAATTTGACGGTGATTTGGTGGAGGTTGGTTATTTCGAACGGCGAAGGAGGATATGGGGGTGGTATTGGTTTTGTGTCTGTTGAAGGGTTTTCGAGATTTCGCGGATGATTTGATGTTGAAGGTTTCAACTGTTGCGGTTGGTTTCTGGGTATTTGAGGTTTCTGAAATGAGGGTTTGTTTGAAGGGATGATGAATGGTTGTTTTCGAAGGTTTAGTTGAAGGAAGAAGGTGTTACGTCGGAGGCTATCGGAAAAGGATTACAAAGGTTGTTGGGGAATAAATACGGTGAAGGGTTTTTCGGTTGTTGTAGTGTTGTTATGGATGAGTGATGGAGTCAAGCTTTGAGTGAGGTAGATGAGTTGGGATAGGAAGTACTTTATGGAATGTGATCTGAAAGAAGTGCGGCCACCGCTTTTCGTCGGTTATTTGAAACAATGTTTTGGGTTTTGGAGTTCATTGAAGGAAGCATATGATACGATTGTTGACGCAGGTTCGATGGGTTTGAACGTATGAAGGTGGTAGTATCATGGGTTTAACATCAGTTTGAGGAATGCTTCTGTTTTGGGATGAAGAGGGATTTTGGTTTATCGGTTTTTTTTTGAGGAGGAATGATGAAGATTGACAGGTTGATAACTTGTTGACTGAGGCCTGTTTGAGTTGAAAATGGAAGTTTTGAAGGTTGGTGTTGTTGATTGTAGGTCTGGTATCTCTTTGAATGGTTTTAAGGTGAGTATTAAAAGAATAGGGAAGGATGATGTTATGTTTGTGTGTTTTGTGCAGGTACAGCTTGCAGCAGGTCTTGTCTGGCATGATGAGTAGCAGCTTATGGCAGGTTGTTTGTCTGGTGTGGGAGGAGTAGTAGCAGGTATTGTCTGGCGGTACGGTTTTGTCTGTTTTCTGCAGGGTTTTTGGCTGGTTGTAGGCTTGTAGCAGTGGTTTGGTTGTGTGTAAGCTTGTAGCAGTGGTTTGGTTGTGTTCATGTTTTTGTGGATCGTTTATGTATATACAAATTTGTGTAACATATCCCATGACGCTCGAAGCCATTTTCAGAACCTCTCGAGGACACCCTGGTTTTATGCTAGTTCAGACCTGCTCAAGATACTCCTGAAGTTTCTTAATGTGACCCATGTAGTCTGATGGCATTCCTGAGGGAGTATTCTCATCACTTGTGCCTAAGGAATCTGAGTTATCACAATCCATAGCAGGCAAGCTGATTCATTCAATAAGCTCGATTATCTTTCCTATTGATTTACCCAAATCTTCCTCGGCGTGTTGTTTTGTTCTTTTCATTGATGAGAGATCAGTGATATTTACATCACCGGATGCAACTACCACTAGAGAATTATTTGATGAGTCAGATCCGTCCATATGACCAGAAACTTCGTTCGAATCAAAGACATGCGGATCTAGATTATTCAAAGCTAATCTAATATCCTCGAGTGTGTTATCAGGACTTTTGTGAGTGACATTGTTTTGTTCCAGGACCATCTTGTGCTAAATCCCGACTCAGGCAAACTTTTTGCTTTCTCACATTTAATCAAGCCTTTTAGGATCAACATTCAGCATTCGATAACAGGAGATGCAAATCCCACTAGTCCAATTCCAGTCAAAACATCCAAATCATGATGCAAACAACTCCTCATAATTGCAAAGCTAGGTCTGGTTGCTGTGAATCAACAACACCAGAAGATTGTTTTGCAGGTGACCCTGGAGATTGACAATCAATATTCAAGTCAGGCGGAAGAGTTTCTTGTTTCTGCCTTGGTTGGCTTTGAGGACTGAGACCTTGCCAAGAGGTTTGCATTTGAAATCTAGATTGGTCCGCGGATGTTGATTGAGGGAAAATCCTAGGTCGGTTGGGCAACTGTGAAACAACACTTACGTGACTAGGTTGAGGTCTATATGAATGAAATGGAAAATTGTTCTTATTAGACTGGAGAGACATTCCACCAGAAGGAAACTCTCCCTGAATTCTTGAAATATGCTGATGGAACTCTCTTGTTGAGTTGTGAAGAGAATCTGCAGAAATCTGATTTTTGGATGAACCAGAATTCTCAGGTCCTAGTTTAAACCCTCCTGCCCCTGAAGACATCCATGTCTGAGCAGCTGCTGCTGAAGCATTGCCTGAGGCCTCTCTTTGGGCAGATGGAATTGATGGTGTCTGCGGAAGAGTATCAACTGATGAATGATGAGAAGTCTGCGGCTTTTGAGCCTCTTCTGTGAACATTCTCGTTGACTTTACTGGGTCACTAGAACCCTGCTCCTGCCCGCGGAAAAGAAAAGGAGTTGCTCTGATTGTTTGGTTTGAGGTACTATCTGATGATGGACGAGTTGACCGATTATTCGAGCTTGTATTCATGACTTTTCCATTAGGCAATTCTCCACTGACAACTTCATTAGTATCTGGCTGCTTGATATTTGTAGATGGTAAAGTATTCAGGTTCCTAGGCGCCATCTCTTTGATCTTAGACTCTGTTGTAGGAATATTTTGATTACTTGAGGGTAAAGATTTCGGCTCCATTTTCTTCAAAGTCTTATTCTCAGGTATGCCTAAATTATGCTGATTTGGGATGTTGGGGGGTTTTCAACAGAGGTCACTGCTAACTTTTCTATTTCAGCAAAGTCATCCATGAGATCCATTTCTGAAGTTCCAACGCTTCTGCAGGACAACGTTTCCTTTTGTATTCCATTTCCGAAGTGCTCTAATTCTGAAATCAATGCAGAACCTGAGGATTCAGCACAGCTTACCTTGTCATCACTGCCAATATCAGACATTGATGCCACAGAGATTTCACGTGACACAAGGTTACTTCTAAGCAGCCTCGGAGCTACTTGACCTTTCAGTGATTCTTCATTATGTGACTCGAGTTGCAAAAGTTTGGAAGCTGTGCGAGAAAGCATTACTCTTGAGAATTGGAGCTCATTCATTTTCTTATTTAGTGAATCTTTTTCTATTGTATTGGTACCGGTTCAAATCACCAATGGTGTTGTTGCAGGTCTAAAGATGCAGAGTCAGGAGGGTATGTTCTCATCTACATAGATCTTAGAAGTGCAACTCTTCTTAAGTCAGCTGAGTGGCATATATCGCTTGGAGATGATGGAAAGCGGCCATCGGAGTCTAAGCTACCGATATGCTGTCGACACGGAACAAAGCTGAGATAACGTCGATGTTCATCAATAACAAAATCCTTCAATCGAATTGTTAACCAACACATAACCCTTGTGAGTAGAAATTCATGATCTGCAAACGGTAACGTGCTGCTGCGGAAAGGCTATTGTTGAAGTCTTGTAGAAGGTATACCGGTTTTAAATGCAAACTGGTGCAAGGCCGGTGAGTTTGGTGAGTGTTGAAGGCTATGATGCTGATTTTTTGGAGCTCTACTTGTTAAAGGATGGTAGCAGGATGCTTTTGAAGTGCAGGGTATTGTTGTGATGTATTGGTGTGTATGATGCACAGGGTCTGTGGGTTTGCGAAATTCAGAATTCTCTTCGTACATATGCTCCATGGCTCATATCATGTAAGAACGATTTACTGCCTTCATTTTTCACTTTTCCTCCTTTATTATTTTTTGAATTTGTGTGATGTATGATATGATAACCTTTATTGTGCGTATCTTTATAAAGTTTATTATGGTATGTACAGGTTATGGTTGTGGGTCCGTGAATTGTCGCGGGACGTTGGCGCGCCGTGGTGGTGTTTTGGTACCTGGTGTGTTGCACGAATTTGCAGGGATTTGTTGTGGTATAAACAAATGCTACGTGAGGCACGAAGCAGGGATTAAGGCGGTATCAGCATGGTGGCGTGACCATTTTCTCATGATTTTTTTAGTGATATTTGTGTAATTTGTTTTATGTGAATGTGGCTTGGCGGTGCTACTAGGGAATGATAAGGAATGATGACCAAAAAATCCATGTTGGCTTCCGAGAAATCCATCAACTTTCTATATTTTCAAACCTTGTAATATGAACCATTTCTTTTGTAAATGAAACTTGTAATGTAAATGGGTCTCATATATATTAGCCTTGTCATTATTCTTTTTGGGATTAAGATAATGGGCCTCAAATATGACAAAGAGAAACTTCTTGTATTTGATGTGGACTTTATGATTTTTGGAAGACAAAAGTATATAAAACCTTAATGAAAATGAATTTGGATAACAAAACAGAAAGTAGGTGATGGGCTTGAATCTAGAAAATGAGTTCCCGAATTAAATCCACAAATGCATATCTTGGTACGAATCACAAAAGCACTAAGAACTGAACTCCATGAACTTTTGAGTAACTCCCGAGAAAATGAATCTCAAGGTAATCTAGACCTTTAGGTGCATTTAAAATCTTGAGAAATCCTTTGAAAATAATAGACATGACCTGTCAGGAACTTCTTGGTCTCGAAGTCTTGATTTAAAAAGAAAGGATTTTTAATGACCACAAAGCATTGATGATTTGGTACAACTTAACAACTTAGTCCACACACCAACCACTTGGATTATCACAAACTCTGATTGAAACCTCAAGAATAACTGCTTGAATCAATTGCACCCACATCGTCCCTGTCCTGGTGAACTTCAAATGAAACTCAATTCATCTCTGCCAATCTGAGCTCAAAAGAAAGCAACAACGACACCCCCTCTTTTGGAGTTTTGAATAATGGTCAGTTGACAGAAATACGGACGAAAACCAAATGTACAGGTAGGACAAATTTGGGGTATGCTTATGCAATGTGATATGCTAATGCAATGAAATGAAACATAAACCAAATGGAGAAAAGGTAGGGCAAATTTTGGGGTACAACAGCTGCCCCTATTCCATCGACTTGGACCAGAAGGGATGAAAAGCAGCCGCTTTTAGACGTTCATGGTAGAAGGTGATTGAATACAAAAGAACCCGGAAATTTGCCAACCGCAAAAAGAAACCTCTGACATTGCTGTCAGTCATTAACAAAAATAAAGCGCCGGACATCGCCGTCGGACAACCAAAACACCCAACATCGCCGCTGGAAAACTAAATTACCTGACATCACCCCCAGAGAAATACAAACCTAGTAAGATAACCCTGACATCACCGTCATCAAACATCTGACATTGCCGCCAGCTAATTATAACTCTGAGAAACACTCGACATCGCCGTCAAGTACCCGTGGGGATACAGAATTCTGACATCGCCGTCAGACAGACATAAATCTGGTAAGCATCTAACATCGCCGTCAACTCCCAACATCGTCCAATGATGGGTGGAGAGAAACATTATATCCAAAACTCACATCGTCTAATGGTAGACAGGAAGAACAATATCCAAAATACTCACATCGTCCAATGATGGACGGAGAGAAACACCATAACCAAATCTCGCATCGTCTAATGACAGACGAGAGGAACATCAAAACCAAATCTCGCATCGTCTAATGATAGACGAGAGGAACATCATATCCAAATCTCGCATCGTCTAATGATAGACGAGAGAAAAAAAATTTTATATCCAGAACACTCACATCATCTAATGATAGACAAGAGGAAAATCATATCCAAATCTCGCATCGTCTAATGATAGACGAGAGGAATCACCACGCTCACATCATCTGAGGGTGAAAATGAACAAATCCAATATTCACATCGTCTAATGATAGACGGAAAGACACCAATACTCATATCGTCTAATGAGAGACGGAAAGACACCACCCCAAAGGTTCACATTGTCTAAAGATAGACAGAAAGAGAAAATATCCACGTCAATGAACCTCAAAACCACCCATCAAATTTCGGAATCCTTTCGTCCATAGGAGTTGACGGAAAGATATCTTCAAAAAGGGCCACATCATCAATAAGAACTAACAGGAAGAAAACCACCTTCAAAGAGCCATGTCGTCAATAAGAATCAACAACTAGGAAAACCGATCATTCTTCAAAAGATCCTCGATGTCAATAAGAATCGACGGTCGGGAAAAACCCATCTTGAAATGTCACCTCAACCAATAAACAGAAAGAAAGCCAATATCTGAAAGATCTCCTTGAAACCTCGCATCGTCTAAAGATAGACGGAGAGAAAACCATATCCAAACTCACGATGTCTAAAGATAGACGGAGAAAACCATACCGAAGGCCAGATCAACATGCACTTGATCTTATCACATTGTCTAAAGATAGACAGAAAGAAAACTTGTCCGAAGAACCACATCGTCTAAAGATAGACGGAAAGAAAACCAAACTTACGACGTCTAATGATAGACGGAGAAAATACTTGTTGGGGAAACACATCGTCAATAGGAACTGACGGAAAGAAAATCTGTTTAGGAATGTCATCATCAGAAGATTGATGGACAAAATCATAACCGTCATATGATCTGAAATCCAAGTAAACCGACAAGCTGTCTGAACAAAGCTGCTGGATAGATGCCCCTGAACTGATTACAGAGTGATTCACGTTGCCACAGAAGGCTAACAAAAACTGGCTTATGCTTCGCATGCACATGCACATGTTTGAGAATGGCGCAATGCTCCATATGAAATGGAAATGCTACGCGTTTGAGGGTGAAATGCAAAGATGATGCAAATATGATAACCATATGCAAAAATACAGATGCAGGCTCGGGCTACTGGGGGAAGCTGGATCTGAAAGAATCACTCCAGCAAAATAAATGCTGAAGAGGTGAAGCCAACTCTGCTAGGAATAACCGGATGTGCCAAGTATGATTGGACTCTCCTGGGGATGGCTTACACATGCCAATGATGATTGGGCTTTTGCTGGGGAAGACAGGTGAAGGGTTACGACTTCCCGACATTCATCTTGAACCTGAAGATTGACTGCACCTGCTTGAATAGCTCTGAGTAGCTCTGAAGATATAGAGAGGAACAATTCCTTTACTTCTGATTTTGCCCCAGCCTGTGGGATCTCTGTGGGGATGTTCCTTGAAAGGAAATCATAAATCTCTGTACCCTGATGGTTTGATAGGAACTGCCTCAGCGTCATGAACCTTAGAGAGGTGCTTCCGATTAGCTGCCTTCTGAGTAAGGATAATATTTGTGCTCTTGGGGTGACCTGCCCCAGCCTTGAAGTGATTTGCCCCTGACTGGCTGATTTGTAGAGAAGTGCCCCTGGCCGACTTCGAGAGATTTATCAAATCTCAACCTGATTGCCCCAGATTAACTGATCTTCGGATGGCTGACTCCTTTGATGATCATTTGATATGCCTTGCCCCTGATCAACGGAGTACTCAGGCGTTTTGCATCTTATCTCGATCGAACTTTCCACTGTAGGAACTCTCCTGATGTAAAGTGCCTATTCACAAGTAAAACAAATTGTCTTGCAAATGATAATATCAATGCAATGCATATGCAGTTTTGAAATCCAAGTCTGTTCACTAGAAAAAAGTTGTGATGTATAGTGAATGAATCACTTATTAGAATGTCAATATCAATACCCATAGGGTAAGAAAATCCTTTTAGGAGTCAGTTTCGACGCGATCTTTACCGAAGTATGCTTTCGAAATAAACTTGCTTCAATTAGGACTTTTGAAGGTTGTAACTT